GCGTGTGTGTGTGTGTGCGTGTGTGTGTGTGTGTGTGTGTGTGTGTGTGCGTGTGTATGAGTCTACAGGGAATAATTCCTCTCCATGGAGTAGACCGCAAGAGGCAGCTGGGGATAACAACATTCTTTTTTCTTTGTGCTTTTTAAAAAAAAAAATGTTTCTCTGTCCTGTCAACAGTTTTATGTTGTCTTAAAAATATAATTAAACAAATAACTGTGGTAATTTAAATGAATGGTAATTTGGGAAACAGGGCCAGGTGGCTGGACTCAGTTGAAGTCGGTCTGGGCCGGGCTGGACAGGGCCCCTGGAGCCTGCGCACTGCAGGAAGGCAGAGGGGGCGGCAGGCCCGGAGCTGGCGAGGTGACAGTTGGTGCCCATGGACATCACCTCCTGGAATCTGGGCCTCAGGGTGCTTCTGGGGTTGATGCAGCCCTCCTGTTTCTCGGCCCCCATATCTCTGCAACTGATGTGTTTCTGTTCCAGTCTAATAGCAGGGCATTTGGGGCCCTGTGATTCTGTTCTTTCTGGAAAGACAATTTCTCTCTCTCTTCTTTTCCTATGTTTTCTTCCCTCCCCCCTTATATCTTTTTTGTAGGTTTTCACCATGTAGCCCAGACTGCCCTCGAGATTTTCCTGCTTCAGCCTCCTGAGTGCTGAGATTACGGGTGTCCACCATCTTGCTCGGTTTAGTGATTTTCATTTCTTAGTCTCCCCTTTGCCTTCCGCTGTGTTTGCATTTATTGTCGCGCTCCCCTGGGCTGCATGAGAACTCCTGCTTTCCCGTTCATGCCGATGCCAGGCTCTTCCGTTTCCTGAGAAGGGCTGTTGGGTGGGAGGTGTGGGAAGGGGCCACCTGCTCCCGAGAACTGCCGGATATGGTGTCACGAGGAGCGCCGGCCTCTGCAGAGCTGGGGAGGGCCTGGGAAGCCCGGTCCCTGAGAGCAGCGCTGTGGGAGGCTGTCCGCTGTCCCAGCTATCTGTGGCACTGGCCACTCCTTGTTCCCTTCCTTTCATGCCTTTGTTGGCTTTTCGTCTCCTTGCTCTGCCCTGTTTGCCATGGCATGGGGCTACTGTATCTCTCCCCCCCACCTTGTGGCAGCGGCAATGACTGAGGAAGCTGGGCCACGTTGCAGCTACGTGACCTCTTGGCCTTGGAACCGGATCTGCCGACTCCCTGGCTCGGCCTGTGATGACTGCTGTGGAGCAGTGGGGGAGGCTGGGGCTTCTGCCTCACACACAGACACCGTGGCTCTGCCTGCTGGGCACTCACCTCTGGTCCCCGCAGGAGTGGCTGCTGACGGTGACCCGCCAAATCCTCAGCACTGCAGATGCTCGAATGAAGACCCTGGAGAGTGAACCCCATGTGCACTGGGATTGGGAGCCTTCTCAGATGGGGGCCAGCAGGTACCTTTCTGTTATCAGGCACGCGAGCCCTGCTGATGTAGAAAAGGGCTTGGGAGTGACATGGTGTGGCAGGAAACGAACACGCTTTGTGGGCTCAGCAATCCTTTCCAGGAAGCTGGTTCTTTAGCTGGGATTCATTTCAACCCTCATTGTGTTCGCCCTCTCGGGGTGTCTTTGTGTAACCAGTTATACCAGAAGCTGCTGGCTTGTCTTTGCCTCATACCTAGCTTTTGTCGAGGCAGGGTTAACAGTAAATAAGTAAAAGCCAGAAAGAGCTCCTTTCAAGTCCCTGGCGCACCCTGATGCCACCAAGAAGCCAAGGTGTGTTGGGCCAGGGATTTAGCTCAGTGGTGCTACTGCCTGCCTCACAAGCACAGGGTCCTGAATTCGATCCCCAGTACCAAAAAAGAAGAAGAAGAAAGAAGAAGAAAGAAGAAGAGAAGGAGGAAGAAGGAGCCAAGCAGTGGTCTCCTTGACTCTTCCTGTCCTCAGTCTTCTCTGTACAGAGTGACTGGATTTCTCTGTGACCACTCTTTCTCCAAGCAAACTGGCACAGGAGTGCCACATCTGAGTCCCCCAGGGGCACATCCTCCCCCAGTACCTTCCTGCCAGGCTGCTTCCTCCTGGTACCAGGGATGAGCCGGCCTGAGGGGGCACAGGAAGTGCTCCCCAGGTTCCAGGCTCCCTGCTCACCACAAGCGGAGTGTGGGGTGGTCTTGCTGCGTGGCCTTTGGCTGTAGGACTTCAGTTGGAGTCCGTCTCTACCGTGATCCTTCTACATAACACCACAGGAGAGGTTAAGGGTGTTAGAAAATGATGCTTTGTGAGGACATGGGAATACTGTCCTCAAAAGGTGCGAGATGACAACTTAAGTCTAATTTGTGTCCTGTGCCTGCCCACTTCTGTTGGGTTCTTGGGTTTGGAGATACTGTTAATGGGATGGGGGGTTAACCCAGAAGAGCAGGGTTCCAGGGTGTGGGGTATACCAGTGCCCCAAACCTGCTGGTGAGACTGGCTACCAAAGCCATCCCCAGAGAGTGGCACCTTGGCGTTGCCACCTCCAGACAGGAAAGAAGGGAAGAGGAGGGGAAGCTGGGAGGCCAGGGCTGTGTTGTAAGCATCAGCCCAGAACTATGACTGGGCCGTAGGGGACAATGGCAGGAAAGGTGACAATTCCATGCTGCCTCCCTGGAGCAGGACATCCCGTCTCCCGTCTCCTCGCATGCTCCCCCATAAGCTGTTTTGAGAAATTGCTACTCCCAGTACTGCCTAAGTCTTAACCACTGACGGCTTTATGGGTCACTGGAGGGTGTTCGGATTAAGTCTGTTCTTATGCAAATAAATGATTAGCATGTGTGTGTATGTGTGTGTGTGTGTGTGTGTGTGTGTGTGTGTGTGTGTGTGATGGGGGAAAGCAGCTCCGGGAACCAGGAGGTTTCTACTCAGGAACCACCAATGCAGGAAAAGGATCTGTCCCTCGAGGCCTCAGGCTCCTCCCACTGCAGGTGGGACCAGCACCTATGTCCAGCCCTGCGGTGTCAGAATTCTTGGGGTTCATATTTATTGGCGAATTCAGGAACACTTGATGGGGCCTCAGTGTACAGGATGCCGCATACAACTTGGGACAACAGGGTTTATTTTCTGTTGTTGATGGGAGCCAAGTAGATGTGACTGTTCCATGGGGTGGTCATGGGCCACACCCTGTGTCACTGCCTCAGTGTCCACAGAATACCTACCGACGTGTGACTCTCCTTGTAACATGTCTTAACACTTACCGTTCTTGTGAGTTTTAGCAGGGGGCCTTGCTGTTAAGCCCTGTTTTCCAGGGACGAGTTTTTTGATAAGCCGACTTGACACGGATGGGAATGCAGTGGACCAGTGCATTTCTTTGGTAGAGTGGGAGGCGCTCAGGTGATCTTTGTCCAGGACAGCACAGCTGCCTCAGCCAACTTGGAAATGGCCACAGAAACCACAGCAACCACGGCTGGAACTGTGAGGGAAGTGGGCCTGAAGGAGGTTTCCCGGAGTGGATGAGGTAAAAAAAAACCAAACAGAGGGAAGTGGGCCTGAAGGAGGTTTCCCGGAGTGGATGAGGTAAAAAAAAACCAAACAGATGCTATGGATGACCTGAATGGCTTCACTGAGTCAGGTGAAACAGCGTCAGAGGACATTGTGCTGATGACCGAACGACTTAGCGTGGATTGTAAAGCCGAAGGAAGCAGGGGATTGGCATAAAGAGGGATCGTGGAATGCCTCGAAGATGGAACATCACCTACTGCAAAAGCTTGAGCTTGAAAATTCAAAGTTAAAAGTTAAGTAGAAAAATAAGCGAAGTCAACAGCTTCAGAAAAATCTGTTGAGTGCAAATATGGAGTTATTGTCTCTGAAAACTATAGAACAGAAATGTTTAAAGCTAGAGAAAAATAAAAAGATGGAACGAGGTAGTAGACCTCGAATGTCCCAAAAATGTATATGAAAATAATATGACAGAATATACTAATGTATAACAGTATAAACAGGAGATTGAAGAAAGTAAGGCAAGATTTGACAGAAAAATTAAGTCAATCAGACACAAGCAGAAAGAACTCAGACAGAAGTGAAAATTGAATATCTGGAAATGAACTGTCTGAAATGCACTCTCAAGAATCTTATAAAATACAACTAAATATGCATCAGGAAACGTTGTCAGGAAGGATTCCAGATTATAAGATCATTGTGAGATCAACTAAAAACAGCCAATAAGAGACTAGGGGAGGCTGGTACAGAACTTTTTGCAGAGAAATGGCAGAATAGACCTTTACTGACCACTCACAGCACAAGGCCTACCTTCACAATAGTAGTTTGGTCCTTGTCTTGTTACTTTCTTGTTGCTGGGACAAAGTATCCTATGCCCACAAGGTAAGGGAGGAAAGGTTCAAGTCTGCTCACAATTGGCACAGGTTTCAGCACATGGTTGGCCCCAAGGCAGGGCAGCACGGCAGAGGAGAAATAGTTCATCACATGGCAGGCAGGAAGCATCAAGACTTTCTCCTTTCCGTTTTTCTTCCATCAAGGCTGCTGAATTTGAATTTGGAGTCTCTTGAGCCAGGATCCAAAAATTAGTCAAAATAAAAACAAGTCATTGAGCTTTACTTTTGGAAAATCACAAGAAAATGCAGACATTTAAAAGAAAAAATATGTCCTGAAAGGTAAGACTTATTGAACTGCTTATATAAAATTTTGTTTTCTATTAGTTGGTATATGCCACACAAACTTTGAAGGAAAATATTTTTGTAATATATGTGTAATGAAAATATTTTAAACTGTCTCTTAGCATCTGTAACTTTTGATTATTTTATTTCTTTTTGGTGGTACTG